AGAATGCGGGTTGAATTGCTTGCTAAATTGCATCCACCACCTTTTTACGGGGACTACTGAGACTTCAAGATCTTCGAGACATCAAGAGTTGCTCGCGGAACCTTAGCAGATGCAAATCGCGCGCTATCAGTCGCCTTTCTACCCGTTACTCAACCCCGGTCAGAGTAATGTCCAGCGCGGGATATTTGAATCCGATCTTCACTTTTTTAGCCGAAATGTTGAGAGTCCACATCTTGAAGTATTGCCTCGAGAAGGACCAGAAGGCTAAGTAGAGTTATGTTGCCGGGCATACAGGGGGTGGGACCGAACCGGAAGCCATTTATTTGCTGGTCAAAATTCAGTCTCCGCCGGGCAAAGTCCACTCTCTACTCGTTGACGGTCTTTGTCTGAAACGCACTTAGGTAAGTCTAGAACTGACATTTCTACATTCTCTTCTCCTATTTTTTTTTGTTCTACTGAAAAATGTTTTTGTGTTTTTCGTTAGATTATATATACTTTTATTGTTTTACTATGTTTCCATCTTTACGTAAGATTATGTTTTTGTCGATCTACGTTCGTAATTCACTCATTGTTTGCTATTTAATTTTGCTTCCCATCTCGTTAAATTCTACCTGATCTCTTTCCAAGGGTTAATTTACTCCAATTACTAATCTATTCACTCCGCTACTTTGTTTGTTCCTGACTACATACTGATCGTATCGCTGAACTAAACGGCCTATTTACTATAGCTGACCTATTTATGCAAATATTAAAGCGCGACCGAAACAATGTTCCCCGCAATCCATTGACGCACTAGTCTAATTCGCGTTTTGCCACCGAATTCAGCTGTTGATACAAAGGTAAGTCCACAACCCTTTCATAAATCCACCGTCTCTCTACTTTTGAATTCTAGTGGATTTAACTCGTGCAACTTTTTTCTAGGTTCGGCGAGTCACAAACACATAAGTTAACTTCTTTCCGTGTTTTAGCCCATCGAACTGTTTGCTCGACAAGTAACTCTGCTAACCTATCCGATAGTCAAGTTATCCAAGATATTCTTATACATCATGTCCATTCTGATTATTGCCACGCTGGGCAACGTGAAAGAGGACTGCGAGTTCAGGTTTGTGTCCCTCGTCAGCGCTCAGGGTGGTTTACTGAAAATCCTCCTACTTGAGCGCTGGCACGCCTGCTTGGAGAGAAATTAATCAAATTCGTTGAAGAGAACGGCCAGGAGCTAGCCGTGGGGACCGCAGTCGACTTAACGGAGGCGGCCTCAATCCTTGGAATACATTTTCTCCACCGGGAGCTGATGTTCGACTGCGGCTGAATTCACAGGCCGAGGAGAAGGTGGCGTTAGGGCGCCAATACTAGCCCTGATTTAAACTTATCCTTAATATTTTGATCGGTGCTATGTTAATAGGTATACCTTGTTGTTTAATTGGTTGAATTAATTTTACATTTTTAACCTTTGAGTTTATATCTCAGCCGAACTTGGTGTCTTGTGACGTCCGCCCTACTAGTTACACTTGACTTTTTTTTTGGCGGAACTTCTCAGTGTACCTTAATACGTGTTTCGAGACCACCGAAAAGTCCAGCGATGGAAGTATACCACCGGACACAAACGCGGTCGCCATGGTGGGAGGAAAATATTGTGTTTTACTGTGCCCAAATAGAAGGGTTTAAAAAAGCGGATGTAATTTCCGCTGTTACTACGGGAATGCATCCGTTCTATCTAAACATTGCGCATTTTATTAAACATCTTTTATTGACGAAAATGTGAAGTTGAAACAGATTTGGTATAAATTTTCAAATCTTACTAAAAATCACAAAATGCCTTGTAATTGAAAGTTATTACGACGCGAAACTGTGTTTTTTTGTGAATTGTAAACGGATTCTGCAAAGATACCGCTTTTTTTCAACCTTTTGTTGTTCTGATATTGCCTATTATTGTGCGGACAAAATTTCAACAAGTTTAGAGATTTGTCTCTAGACTCTAGTCACCTGCGCTCACCTAGCGCTGCGCCTAAGCTTGCACAGTGTAGATTAAGGGGATTGCTTCTCTATGTCCGTTCACATACTCTAACTTGGTGGCAGCTATTCCCTACAGATTTTGTTACTTGCCCCCTTAGTGTACTCCTCTTGAGGCTGGTGGTTCTTAAAGTTTGTCGGGACAAAATGGCCTTGGTATCCGCTCACCGTCCCGGCTCTCGGTAGTTTAAATGGTCCGCGAATTTCTGGAAGCATTCCTTCGCGATTTGTCCAGGTTAGTCGCATGCGTAGCAGTTGCCGCGGGAGACCTGGTTTTTCATTCCGTAGCGTCCGACAACTCTGTTCTGCTATCTACGATGGTCCTCGCAAGGGTAAGGGTCGAACAACTGCCGGAGTTGTCGCGTCTGGTCGGGTCGGGATACATTCTCCGAGTTGGGGCGGGAATGTTAGAATTGACAAACCTACCCATCATTGCTGTCTTTTTCTGCATATTTGTCAGAAGATTACACTGCACACTAACCAGTTGGTCAATCCTCGGCTCAGTACCCACTGGTTGTCGCCCAGCATCTGTTCCCCCTGGAGTAGTTCGAGAGTTCTGCCCCTGTCCGATACATCAGCTGCCACTCTCGCAAGGTGCGGCTTCTTCATGTTCTTAGCTCGGGATGACTTATTCACCAGTTGCAGAGGAGGAGCGCGGGCCAGTGCCTGGGCCAAACTTCCCAACTCCTCTCGTAGGAGGAGGTCCTGTAGTTCCACATTATACAGTCCGTTGATGAATTGTTTGCGATTCATGTCGTCCCAGCCTGTGCACCAACATTCGTATTTGCCACGTCACTAAGAGATCTGACCCGACGGGAAAACTCTCTCAGTCCTTGCTTCTCACTTTGCATCAGGCTTTTGAACTCCGCTCTGGCTCCTGCCGGAGTCTGGAATGATATCATTCGCTGGTCGAGTTCATTCAGCTTTCACCCTAAAGAGGGGTCGGGGAAATCGTCGACTTCCTCTCTGAAGTGGGCCCGCATGCTCGTAAATTCGACAAGGGCCCAGCCGTCAAAGAGGTGGGCAGCTCCATCCCAGACTTCTCATTTTCCTACCGGTTGGCATCGGCAACCCAAGCGAAGTGTTCCTCCAGTCCGCCCTCTTTGCTGGAGGGAAACCGGTCGAGTCGGATTGCTCCTAATCCCAACGTTTCGTGCTGCCTATCAAGAGCATTTGCAGGTGCCCAAGCAGCGTCGGCCATCAATGCATGTTCCTCGTTGTTCATTTTCTGTTTAAATTGTCTCGTTCATTAACAGCACGCTTTGGTAACTACAATCCAAAATAAGGACCACCCAGGAGCGCCCATGCAGATTTATGGGGTTCCTTCTCTACGTCAGTTCCTCAAACTCTACTTTAACGGCACTGCCAAGCGTTCCCTTTGGTAATGAATTCAGCGGGGCGACCGAGTTTTATTACTATTCTATCCACAACCCCGAAAGATGAAGTTGGTGGCAACTATTCTGTACTGTATTCTGTGACTTGCCCCCCTAGTGCACTGCCTTTGAGGCTGTCTCGTTCGCTCTTGCGATCGCACGAATTTCCAGTTGTAATTAAATTCAGATAAAAAATGGAGCAAATACAAAAGGCCCTTAGTGGCCAAACTATAATCTAATAATCTAATCACAAAGAAGGGGTCCGCGATCAATCAACACAATTGCCTTATTGCAATTCAAACACATTCCAAACCGAGATATTTTTAATTAACAAGTATCTCAAGGTTTTTAATTTAATAGTCCCATCAAAGGTTCTGACCTCCCGAGGGTAGGGAAAGACCCTTTTTATGGATCGCTAATTCATTCCAAGCATCCAAATTTTCGCTCGATACTTTATTCGAATACTGACCTTCTAGCTATCCGGTGATGGTCACTCCGGGGTCACTAGGGGTCAATCTTTCATATTCAGGTTTATAATCTCATAGGAGTCCTACCCACCAAGCTTCATCCACAACACGATAAAATTTTCCAAGTCATGCTCTTACTAGGGTCCTTTATCAATTTTCAATTTTCCTGGGAAAAAGCTATTAACACCGAAAGGAGACGACGGACGGGTTCCACTCACAGGGAGTTTTTTTTTTGGGGGGGGGGGGGTTGGTGTTATGTGTCTATTGCCACCACAAAATCGATAAGCCCTCGCTCATTGTTTTGCGTAAATTGTCTATTTTTGGTTTAAAACGTGTTTCTTCCAAGTGCTAATAACTTCCGGTCCAACCGCTGGACTTGGCTCAGAATATTACACGAGAAACGGCTTTCGGAAGTCGATGTTGGGGCAAAATGCATAGGGCATAGCACCGGAAGTAGGGGTCCAGGTGGTCTGAGGTTCAAAACTTAAGCTCCCATCGGCGAGGCCTATACCATACTATATTTAGATTCCATTCCAACAGCGGGTTGCCCAGTTCTTATTGGGCTATGTGCACTTCCGGGAACTGTTATCACTTCGGGCCGTAATCACTTGCGGGAACCGTTATCGTCGATACCGAGCTACGTACAACTCATTAGCTTTCATATAATACTTTCAATTTTATGGACTACAAAGCGTACAACGAAATTCTTGCGTACCATAAAGGTAACCAACGAGGTCCTTCCTTCATCTTCCAATGAAGCGCAGCGGGAAGCTTTTTGCCGGAAAGCTTTCAAGTTATCAAGAGTTTTTCGCTGAACAACAATGTATGCAAATTGACAGCAAATTAATGGCTTCCGACCCGGTCCGACCCCCTGTATGCCCGGCGACGTAAATACACTTAGCTCGGCCAGGAGGCTAAGCGGATTTACGTCGCCGGGCATACAGGGGGTCGGACCGGGTCGGAAGCCATTCATTTGCTGTTCAAAGTTCAGTCTCAGTCGGGGGAAGGTCACTCTCAACTCGTTACGGCATTCGTCCAAAACGTACCTAGATACACACAGTTTGGCCTCTTAAAGGGCGTGTTTCTTGATGCACTTTCAACTTAAGCCTAATTTGGGAAATTGCCATTTTGCTTTAAAGCTTTTACTAACATTGAGCCCATTATCATAAAAACAGAGCCCGTGAGCCTTGGATAAAACAAATTTGAAGCACCTTCCTAATAACTGACAGATTTGACGTTCGCATGGCGGTTCTTTTTCATCATCTGTTTGTTCGGCACAATATATCCTTCATATATCTGTCTGACGGTTACTATGGGCGCAAATCTAGCCAGCGGGACTCCAGAGGTGTCAATGAGGTATTTCTCGAAGTTCCAGGTCACATCGCCAGACTGGACTGGGTCCCAAAACAGGTCAGACCGGTCACCCAGATTCTTCTGGTACGGGGGACAGATGTCCTGTGAAAAAAAATATAAAACCTGCAAGGCCCGGTCGCTATACGTGGATCAATTGAGCAATCTCCCAGCCCCCCCCCCCCCTCCCATTCTCGCGTGGGGGGAGATAACTCAATAGGTAATTGAGCCATGTTTATAACCACTTCAAAATAGTTCCAACGATATGAAATCATAAATCATATTCTTCATCGATAATGGAACGCCAAAATTTACAATATCAACGCTTAAAAGTCACATTCAGAGTGAAAAAGTAATCAATAAGACTGAGGTACATAAAGCGATTTTTTGTCCTAAATGGAAAAAGCTATTGAGTACATTTTTAAGGTGCTGCGGAGAACAGTTTTTGGTATTCAGATACAAGGCGAGATCACCAACCCTGGTAACTCTTTTCCTCTATGAGAGGCAATGGTCGCCCAAACAATAATTTGCAAAAAAAGTTTAAAAATTTCCATTTTTTCTGTTTCAAAATTTTTCTTTGTACTCATAAAAAATAAACTTCAGACGGTCAATTCATTACGTGCTACGAACACATCAACCATCTACTTGCATTTGCTGACGTCTTTTTGTAGCTTTTAACCGTTTTCGCTAGGGGGGAGATAGCTCAGTTGGTCATTGGGGGGGTGGGGGGGGGGGGTGGGGGTATTGCTCAATTGATCTTTTTACGTTTGTGCTTGTAGAATTATTGAGGGCGGGGGATTTATATTTTCGAGTTTGTTTAGAAGCCCCCATCCCTCAAAGTATAACAATTGAGTTTTTTCGAGACTTTTTCTTGCTGATAAGCATGAAGGAAAACTCTTGAAAAAATCCAATTGCTTTAATTTTGTACTATTTAAGCTTTTGAAGTTTTTCGAAGATTTTAATTGTGGTAAAACCGTGGTAAAACAATGACGACAGGATTTAAGGAGAAGAAATAAAAAGAAATGAACGAATGCGAAGATTGAGAAGATTGCGAAGAATGCGAGGATGGAGAAGAAAAAAGATGAGAAGAACGCGAAGGAGATGAATGAGAAGAATGCGACAGGTGTTTGCTGACCTTGAGGTATGTAAAAAGGGGATGTTCGTTAACCCCGTTGACATCCAGGGGTCCGAACCACGGGAAGTTGGGTTGGTAGTTGTTGCCCGGCCTCACATATCTGGCCAGGTTCAGCAACTCCGTCTTGTTGGCGCCTGGCTCTTGCATGCCGAACTGGTTGCAGGGGAACCCAATTATTGTAAAGGCCACGGAGGAGTTCTCAGCTTCAGACTGTACTGCATTCATGTCTAAATTGAAGCGACCCGGGTCGAGCTCCGCGACATAAGTCGCGACCAAATATAGTCGCGCGATGCAGCAGGCGCGACCGAAATTCAAAACCCGTTCGATTTTTTCGAGTGGCGCAAAGTCGATACTTAAGTCGCGTACCTGGCCTGGGGAATCATGAATGCATATTAAACTTAATTTTCGAGCAGAAAGCTCACCGGTCTTCTAACTTGGTTCCTTTTTGATTATTAATGGCAGTTCTTTTGCCAAAATTTAGAAACATTCGATAGACAGCTAACTGCGGCCTTTTTGCTGTTCTTCCAAGATGTTTTTTTTAATCCTTATGAGCTGGGTAAAAAATAACTGAAAGTCTGTTCCCTTTTTGAGAACGAATTCAATATTATTTATTAAAACGCAGACACCCGTATTTTGCTTTCGTACATATAGTTTGATTGTTATTTGTTGTCGACTAATATCTTCAAAATCAAAAATCGAGACTTAAATAATTTAGTCAAAATCAGAAATAAAGAAAACTACCACTTCCCTCCCCCAGGGGCGGATTTAGGGGACGGTGGGGGGCGGGGGTTGGTGAACGCGCGTTCTTAGGGACTCAACCCCCTGCCGACCCATATGTTCCCCCTTTGTACTATTTTCAGATATCAATTTTTTGGTGACGAACCCTCGAAAATTTTCTAAAGGCGCCTTTGGCGTCAATATAAACTAATTTTGAGGGGGGATCGCGCCCCGAAAAATCGCGATTTTTTCGTCATTTTTTTTCTCCCAAAAAGTGCCTAAAAAGGCCTTTTTTCAAAATTTTGCCTGCGCCGCTGAAAATTTGGCTGAAACATGATCTTTTTAGTGCTTTGCGAGAGCTCAGAAAATTATTATGGTCGACCTAAAAAAAAAAGGTCGACAGAATTTTCGATTTTTTTCTCGCCCCCTCCAGAAAATCCTAAATCCGCCACTGGTCTCCCCTACTGAATATTGTAAAAATGTTCAATCCGATAATGACTATTTCAATCATCATTAATCATCATTTTCAACACAAATGATTACCTAAGAGCTGAGGGGTCTGTCCTCAGTAGGAGGCGACATTGGTGAGGATGGTCCACTTGCCCTCCGTGTAGTTTTTAAGACTCAGATTCTCCGGCTGACAAAAAAAATAAATCATTTATTTTTTCATTGCAATTTTATTAAGATCATAATTAAACGATTTTTATAATTCATTTTTTCAAATTATTATGGTTATTATTGCTACAATTTTTAATTATTTTTCTCCTTATTATGATTATTATCAAGATTAAAATTATGATTGATTTTAAACATTTTTTATGAAGTTAAATTTTTATTCTGATTTCGATTATTGATATTATGATTATTATGATTATTGTTGTCATTCGGTCTTTCTCTGACGTGAGCTTTTGGAAACCTCAAACCAACGAAACTTAGAGTTACAAGTTTGGATTTCAGTTTTTTTGTTCCTGCGACCTTTAGCGGCTTTGAATTATGTTGAACCCAAAACTGAACCCACTTATGAACTAGCCGTCTTTTTTTTCAGTTTGATTTTGTGTGCTTTACTTTACTATCACGGAAGTTTTGAGCCAATTTTAAAATAATTTTTATTTTCAAAGAAATGTTTTTGCAACGCAAAAAATTGAAATAAGAATTGCAACTTATCTCATCACGGGTAAAAACAACTGAATGCAAAAACAGACATCTATACTTTTGCTGATAAAGCTCAGCTTTAAAGTTGTTTGTTCTGTATTTTTAACCAATTACTGCAATTCTTTTCAAATTTTTTCTTAGTCGAAATCTTTTCAAAAGGATCATTTTTCGAGCTTTTTTTAGAAAAAAGTTTTTTTCACACTTTAGACAAAAACTTTGAATTGCGAAACTTGCCTCTTCATTATCGTCGATCATCTTTGGAACTGTGAAATCGTTTATGTTCATGCCAGCTACATTTTCACAAGTAGTGTAATTGACATCCGCGATTCCATTCACCATCCCCGTCCCACAAGAGAGGAGAATAAAAATGGAGCCCAGAACCATCGGGGTTTTATGATTTGTCTCCTTATAAGACACCATCTCGAAGCAAACAAGAATTTATCGAATTATGATTCAAATCTCCTAAAAATTCAACATTAACCTCTTAGAGTTCAATATTTACCTTTTAAATATACAATTATAGATGAGATTCGAAAACAGTTTGTTAACTTGCTCACTTAAATACTCTTAATGCAAATTAAATTTTATACGAAAGACTTGTGATTATTTACACAGGTCGAAAAGTGAGTTTTGGTTCAAATGTACAATATGTTGTTAAATAAAGGCATATACTTAATCTCTAGTGGGATTTTCCGGTTCTTTCTAAAACAAATTATCAAAGTTTGCTCAATTTGTTATGGAATATCTTAAAGTTTTGAGGTTCAGAAAGTCTATTTGAGAAGCAAGTTTGATCCCGAAGCTTGCTTGTTTGCTGTTATGAGCATATGATATTGATACCACTTATAACTTCTCAAATCAGGGGCGGTCTTAGGGAAGGGGTGAGGGGGGACACGTTCCCTCCTCCCTCAGGGATTCGGCCACCTGGGTCCCCCTTTGGTACTTTTTAAAAAATACATTTTTGTCCGACCGACCCTAAAATTTTTCTAAAGGCACCTTCGGCGCCATTATATACTAAATTTGAGGGGGAACGCGCGCCAACAAAACGCAATTATTTTGTCGAAATTTTCCACAAAGTGCCCAAAAACAGCTTTTTTGACCTGTTTTTTCAAAAATTTGCCTGCGGAGCAGAAAATTTGGCCAGAACAGCGCGTGTTTTTAGTGATTTAGGAGAGCTCGGAAAATCAATTTGGTCGACCTAAAAAAAAGGTCGAGAAAATCCTAGATTCGCCCCTGTCTCAAATGCTGGTTTGGGAAATTTTAACATGTTCTTAAGAAGTGTATCGATTTTTTAGCGTATCTTACCATCTGTTATCACATGTTTTCATTTTCCTGACAAGAATACCATTTTAAAATAATTATAAACTGTATTATTACCATCTAAGATATAAATTGAAGACCTCAGTCTCTGCAAATTAAAATGATGGCAGGGTCGGGCGGATTGAGGATTTTCTCGAAGGGTGGCAGATTTTTAATAAATGCTCAAAAATTTTGCCGGCCTTTTTTTTAGTTCGACCAAATTGATTTAACCAGGTCTATCAAAAACTAAATAGACACTGTTTAGCAAATTTTTCTGCGCCGCCAAAATAAAAAAAAACCAGGTCAAAAAGCAGAGCTGTTGCTGTGTCTTAATGGTTTTTTATTGCTCCGACTTTCGAAGAACACAGAATATTTATGCTGGGGGTGGGTTTTTATTCATGCAATTTTCGGCGATCGAAATACTAGCTTCCAACAAAACAAATTATAGCCCATTGAAGATGCTGACTCCCTGAAATCAAATATACCAAAATATTTTAAATTCGATCATTTTTTTTGTGCAAAAATCTGGACTAACTTATGGGCGTTTTCTAGATTTTTTTCATAATGCTGAAAGTGTAATGGGAATTATCTTTGGCTGAAGAATTATCGCGCACAACAAAATAGTTCCATATTGAATTGAGGCTAGCTAACTGGTCGTAATAATTTCCTACGACTCAAATTTTTATATTTGATCTTTGATCTCATCCAAAATTTATAGTTTTTTAATATTCTCTTTTCCCGAAAACTATTCGATATGGATTAAGTTGCAGTCAAAACGTTCGAGCTTTTGCCCTGATATACGTTCAGTCTTGTTTGAATATCTTTTCAACTTAAAATAATTTTTGCGAACTAATATTTGAAAGCTTAGTTTGAAATAAAGCACCGCGTTCTTCTTTGATGTTTACCGAAGACCCCTTTGAAGTCAAATTTCTGTTAATTTTGGATGAAAACGGAGTTAATTCAAAGAAAGAACTCTAAAATGTAAGGATTTTAAATTGCTACGGTAACAAAATTTGGGTCGTTAAACTGCATGATGTTAAGTTGTTTAGTGTTGAAAAGATGGGAACCGGAAAAAATATAATAACGACTGAGAGGACGCTAAAACAAAAATAGTCAGACAAGCAGTTTTTTGTCCAACTAAAAGGCCAAAGGCATTAAACTGACAGTCTCTTCTAATATCAGACTCTGAGCAGGTAGTCTACCAAGGGAGGGGCGACCGACGCCGTCTTATTCTTGTTACCATTTTTTTCCAAAGGATCTCTCCCTGGGTACTATTTTCCGACACCCATTTTCTCATAAACAGTCTCAAAAATTTTTCAAAAAGATAAACAACAGAAGAATTTCAATCTCAAAGAATATATTGTCTCCCTGAGTTCGAATAGGGAAAACATTTTAACTGAATTTCATCCAAGTAAAATTCTGGGAGCATGGAAATTGTTTGCCAATTTGGCCATGATGTGAAATGATTTATGTTGGCTGAAAAAAAATTTGTTGGGGGTGATGATGAAAAGATAACACGCACTTAAAACGAAAAAAGCTGCCTACCTATACCAAACGAAAGCTTAACTCGACTGAAAACTTAACAGTAAATTTAAAGTTTACCAATCAAAAATTAGTTAAGTTAAAATTATCTTGTGGGATATCCGTAATAAGTACATTTGCCACATTTATTCATGATATAATGCTGAATCAGCGTTGATTATACCTGCAACGTCAACCAGGGAATGCAGAACTGTACTCTTAGAGTTTGTACAACTGCCAAACTGTACAACTGCACAACTGCCTTAGAATTTGTACAGCTGGGTTATTCAAATTTGAGCGCCAAATTTTTTTTATAAACACTTTGTTTATTTGGACTGGGGCTCAGTAAATTAGGCAACAAGCAAATTAGACGATTAGAAAATAACGGCATTTGGACGGTAACTTGCGTGCAAATTGCGTGAGAGTTGTTTACCGGTATAAGTTAAGTTTTCTGTTCAACCAAAAATCAGGAGTTACTTTATGTCACAGTTGTATAGTTAATGTAACTCAAAAATATACTAAATTTTTTCATTTTGAATATTAAAAATAATTTAAAACAACAATTTTGGTCAGTTTGTGATCATATGCTCTTTTTATTTTCGTGTAACTTCATTCTTAACAAAAAAATGGTTGCCCAGTTCTTATAGTCTAAATTCAAAAAGACTTATATTCTAATATCAGTTAGTTTACGTTCGTCTAATTTGCTTGTCGTCTAAATATTTAGGCCATTTGGACTAGCCAGCAGACAAAATTTGTCAGCCTCATTGTGGGCCTTAAACCTTCTAATGTTATAGGAGAAAACGAAATTTTTGTCTTTTTAATGGGACAAAACTGCTGGAGAAAAGATCAAAACAAATCTGGCAATTTTTTTATCAAGTGTACATTTTTTACAATCCTTCTTGTACAGTGGGACACAACAATCTGGAAAAAGTGCGTACGTCTGAAAATATTTGAGCTTTGCTGTTGCTAGATCCCTTCTCATGGTCCAAGACACATTTTTGTTTCTTAAACCCAAAAAATATAATTGTTCAAAAATTTGAAAAAGTGTACATAAAAAATATTGTTTGCGACAGCAATAAAACGTTTCAAATAAAAACTTCCTTAAAGATCTGTTCATCCCTGATAAATGATTCTATCCAAAAAATCAATCTCCAGAAATAAAACTAAATTTTTTAAAGAACCTTGAAAACTAGATTATGTGAAAATTCGAGTCATACTAAATTAAATAGTCAAATTAGCTTGCCTAAATTCAATTCGGAACGGTTAGTGCGGTATGTTTTTGCCACGTGTAAACTGTAAATTGTTCGTGTAACGACAAAAACTGAATTTTTTTTTTCTTAAAGCGCGCATAAATTATCCAGAGCATGACCAAATTAGCTGTTTCTAAACCCCAGAACATTAGAAAAGAAACATTCAAAAAAAGTGTTTTTTTTTTAAATAATGAACTCAGGAAGACGATATCTTCAATGGTGTATTTTTTTAAATAAAAAAAAACCCCTAGCATAAAGATTTTGCATTTTGTTCTAATGTCAAAACAAAAATTCATAAATCTCAACTTTTTTTCGGTGTTAAATTTTCCTTACGAGGATAATTGTGTATATATTGAACTTCAAATGGATTCCGCAACCAAATGAGAGGAGAGTTGTTGCAAAATCTGCAATACGTCTGAGAACAGATTTGTCGCGGTATCCGCAACACTGCTTTTTTGCTTCGACCTTTTGCTGTTTTGGTTTCAACAAACAAATAGCTAAGAAACTGTATCGCTCAAAAATTGTCCAAAAACAGCTGAATTTGCGGAACTTGGAATAAAACTGGCGGAATGCAAAACAATTTGAGGAATTCAAAGACAAAATGAATTTATTACATTATAGATCACAATTTTGCGTAAAACCGCTTACATTTGCCAAATCCGCTTGCAATTTACAGAATTTATTGACATCATGACATTATAATTACAATGTTGCTGAATCCGCTTGCATTTGTGACATTAGCCCACGTTTGCTAAAACAACTAGCTATATTCGCTCGTTACAGAATCCGCGAAGCAATCAAAGTGCCGACAAAGTGTACGTTAAAAGTATTTGTGAGCAGAACCCAAGAAAATTTTATAAGTGGAATCCACTTACAATTTGGAAGATATTTAAGCACTTGTCTCTGCTTTCCAATTACGTACACAAAACAAACGTTGCGCGTTTTCAGTGCATAGGTTGGCCTCGTAGTGTTTCAATCTTGGTTTCTTTCTGTATCTTCAATTTCTCGATACAAGGTCATTTTTGCGTTGTTTTCTTGAAGGTTATTCGACATTTTTCGTAAGCTTTGCGTTATTATACAATATGGCTCGGAATACATAGTAAATTATTGAAGAATTTAAATATTGAGATAATCATTTAAAGTTTTTTAGGTACAATGTTAGTCCTACCGAGCTGAACCACCTCAGCTCTTGTGTTTGATCTGTTCACTCACGCATGAGTCATTTTAAACTTCAATTACACGGAAATGAGAAATTTTTAGTAGCATTTTTGAATCCAGAACAATAATTACACATATAAATCTCGGATCAGATACATAATGAATAAAGTAATTTCACACTTTTGTTATTAAAGTAGTTGTTAAATGGTACATTAGTTAGCAAAAGTTGTTTATAACTCCACCTTTTTAGACGCTTTAATCGTTTTCCGCAGTTCTGGAATATCGTGTTGGTAATCCTTGAAAAACTGCAAGACATTCCACTCGTTAATTAATTTTTGATTTGCTTCGTAGTCGTGTTTTTTCTTCTCAAAGCTACTCGCGATTCGCTCTTCAACAACAGTTTGGCGTCTTTCAATTGATTTCAAACCCTCTCTATCGGGTAGAAAAGCTTCTAGAGCGTTCATGTAATTTCTTCTAAGGTTCGGCGATGACACAGCGCGCACTTTATTGTTCAAAACTTCTATTTCAGAAGGCATTATGTCGCCTTTTCGGAGAAAATCTAACTGGGGGGCTAAGATTTTCTCGATTTCGCTATTTCTCCCCATCATTCCAAAGGTATCCGAATCCCAGTTATCGGTGTATAGAAACTGAAAGTCCATCAACTGACTCATATAAGTCTTGTTGAATATTCCTTTATGAGCTATTCCTTCTTTGTACATGCGAGGGAATAGCCAAACTGAGGGGTAGTCTAACACATCGTAGATCCTCGCCAGGACTTTGGAAACTGAGGCGTCGTTTTTGAGGAATCGGATCCGATGTTCACCGAATTGCTCCTGGTATTCCTTCATGAGGTCAATCATGTCTTTTTCGGCTTTGAGACAACCTCGGCACCCCTGAAAAGTTCCGAAGAACATTTACTAGCTATACAGGTAGCTTAAAAGGGAAATGATGGTAGGATCCCAAACAAAAATATTAAGACAGTTTTTGACCTTTTGACTTTTAGTTTGACGATTCGTTTTCAGGCTATTTTGTCGCATCTAATTGTTATAAAAGCAAACACATAGGCAAATCAAAGTCCAATTTTTTAATGACACTTTTGTCTAGTGAATTTTTGCGTGAAATTATTGCGTGAAGGATTTGAACATAACATTTTCTAAATGAGATGCTCAATTTTTTTCGATAGAAGCAGCGGCGCAACTTTTTTTCAAAGCTTAGAGCTTTTTGAACTACCAAGAAAGCAAAAAAAAATCCACTTGTATAATCATTCAATCAAAAAAAAATTTGGACACGACTTTGGGTTACGACTTGCCTGTTGTAAAAACAGCAAAATCACATCAGCATTTCTATCGAACACCAGCTGTGTGTAGTCATTGCTCTGCACAGAAATGAGTCTGGGCATTTCGTACTTGAGTTCTTCATCTATTGCCGCGTAGAGGGAAGCCACGTCCTGTCTCCCTTGATAGAGCACTTTGCCGTCTCTCTTATTATTGTAGAAGAACACGGAAGGGTAGTAGGTAACCCCATTCCTCTTGGCCGTCACCTATGTTCAATGAAAAGTCGCAGCAGTTTTAGGAAATAAATAAAAGCAAAGGCCGTTTTTTTGAGGGGGGGGATTATCTAGGTTTTTTTTGGGAAAGGATTTTGACTTTTTCAGGCTGACCAAATTTATTTTTGTAGCTACTCCCTAAAAAGCTGCCCTAAAACACTCCTTTACTGTTTCCAGGCCTCGCCAACGCAAATTATACTTTCATAAAC